AAACTATATGTTTCATCTTAAAACCATTAGCATATCTTAAATATTTTGGTACCTCCTCAGATTTAGATAGAAGACTTTGTTCTTTTATTTAGCCCGCATTGCTTTGATATCTTAGTATTGAGTCTTTTTATTCCTCTGTGTCGATGCAGGGATGCTTGAATATTTCAGGAAATTCTATCATAGGTGTTTAGTCAGATTGCTGTATTTTCCCATGTTTATCCTGTTCAGTTATTTTTTTCTCCTTGTTTCTTTGTAATTTTTTTGTCTTGTCTTGTTACTCTGGTAGAATAGAGACATTTGTTCTTGAACACAAAGTTTTAGGAACAAAAGGTGAAAATATTTCCTTCTTCTGAGAACTCAAGTGTAGAAATTGTTGCTTTGTGCCATGAATGAACACAACAGGGTTCCAGACTATGGAGCCTGGAGTGTTGTTGCATTTTAGAGTGGTATAGAGAGTCTGCAGTTATAAACTATTCGTCTTGTAAGTTACTTTCTTGTTCCCCCCTCCCCCCACCTCCTGCATCTTTAACAGTATTGTAAATATAAGTTTTATTCATTTAAATCAAATCTGCCTCCTTCCTGTCTTTGATTGGGTCCTACAACTCAGAAAAACCCTAGGAACATGCATTCATCATGGTAGAAATGGTGTGCTAATCTGGTAAAATTAGCCCCATCAAATGCTGGTGCTTTATTGTGCTTTTTTGTCCTCATCACTAAATATGAAGGCAGGTTTCTCTTTGATAGCATACTGTATAAAACAAAACATAGACTTTTAGTCTTTGATTTTTATAAACATGTTTCAATATCTTAACAACCATCCACTGCCTAAAGGTGGGTATGTATGTGTTGCTAGCACATGCACCCCAATGCCTACTAACCTCTTTGTGCAAGGGACACATTCATGACACTATTTTTGAAATTTTAGGATTTTTCGTTTCCATGCTTGTTGTGATAATTCTGCAGCAAAGAAGAACACAAAGCATGTTACAGTTTGCAGCCAAAGGCATCACATTAATCTACTAATAAAGGTGTAAGTTCGGGGTAGAACTGAAGAGATTGCAGGCTTGCATTTGGTCAGAATGGTCAGCCATGAGTGTCTTCAGTGAAAGATTTCTACAGAGAGACTGCTACAGAAGATCCATCCTGACTACAGTTACATCTACAACTTGCTGAAACAAAAACTATGAGGTCTAACATTTATTTTCCCTTTGGGATCAATAAAGTATTTTTGAACTGACTTGAATTCTCTGATGACCAATTAACATTATAAATAAAGGTTTCCACTACTGCTTAACAGCTGCAACCATAAAAAAAATCACATTGTGTTCTTTACGAACAGCCTAAAAACTCTCTGAGACCTACCTAGATCCTCAGCTCTGCCTGGTGTTTAATGTCATGGTTATGGTTAGTCTCATGTTCAAGGATGCTGAGATAAGATGGACCACTGCCTCTGTGTTGCAGTGTGTTAGTGCTGTGTTGTCACATTCCTCTGCCCTCAAGACACTTAGCTCTACTAAGAAGCTACAGGACAGGAAGTGAGTCAGAGAAGAGAGAACAGATGGGAAGACAAGAAGGAGCATAAGCAATGTTTTCACATGATGTAGCATCGCTGCATTATTATGCCTAGGACCTGAGGGTGACCCAATGACAAAATGAAATGCTATCTACATATCAAATCAACTAATTTTTCAGAATCCTAATAATTTATAAAGTATGCTTCTTGCAAACAGGCAAGAACCGATTTAACTTGTTAGATTTCAGTTTCAATCACTGAGCGCCCAACTACAGTAACAGCCCATTGATTATTGATCATTATACTATTTTAATGCATCTAGGTAAAAGTGCTTATTGGGCCAGAATCTTATAGATATGTCATAAAGCTTTGGTTCAAGTGCCAGATATGGCAAATTGTGGGAGAGATTGTTTTACAATATAAACTCAAACAAATAATATGTGACTCAAAACAAAAAAAAAACAACAGCCATAAAGGTGATTGCTTCCAGTACATCTGAGTTTGATCTCAGTGGAGAAAACCACGAGGAACTCAAAGTATGAGCCAGGAATAAGTGCCAATCTTGAAATCCATTTACTTCTAGACATAGAATTTAGATCTGGAAACTACTGCATGTTTTACTGAACCTACAATTTGCTGTAGTGGTATTTTCAAACAGAGAAACAGAGAGATAAAGCAAAGTAGAATTTGCAGTACTGCAGCATGCAATTTGTCTCAACTTTGATGGTTTAAACTAGCAATAGTACGGAGCCCCTAAAGGGACATGGATGGGGAAAAAAGAACTTTTATCGAGATTCCGCAATACTTTTGCGAGATCCCGCAATAGTTTTGCAAGATCCCGCAATAGTTTTGCGAGATCTCGCAAAAGTTTTAGGCTTTAGGGGCTCAGTAGAAAACATTTTGCAACATTTCGCAAAACGTTTTGTGAGATCTTGCAAAAGTATATTTTTTGCGAGATCTCGCAAAAGTATTGCGGGATCTCACAAAAGTTTATTTTTTCCTCCATGTCCCTTAAGGGGCTCCGTAAACTATCTGTGTTATGTAGTTTATTTGTTTTAATCCAAGTGGTCTGATTGTTGAATAATTTAAAATATTACATATGACAGCCTTCTGGATTTGAGAAATCTCTTAAACACCTTATATTTTAACTTCACAAGACCTTTCAGCTCACTTTACCTCAGTAAAGACTGGGTGCAAAAAGGTGCATTTGTTTTCATCTAACATTTTTCTCTTCTAACTTTATATAACAAACAATATCTCGTCCCCTTTTCTCTGTCAATATATTCGCACTTTGAAATTTTGGTGGTGCTTGGTATAGGAAACCTGAGAGACCAGACCTAAACCTGACAGCACGTGTAGCTTTTTTAATCAGTCATGAACAAAGATTTTTACATGTTTTATTTCTTCTTGCCCTTTAGGAGTTAAAGGGATTAAAAGCAGTACAGGGAACTAGTAAGGAGCATAGGCCTCTTTTTGTTTTCCTGTATTTGGATGAAAAAAATGAAGGAACAATTATGCAAGAGGTTAAATCCCCCAAAGTGTTGCAGCACTGTATCTATACTGCACACAGCAGGACCTGACTGTAACTGAATCTCCAGGCATGAAGAAAGTTAACAGGGGAGGTGTGGGTATAAGAAAACATATCAGTATGACTTAACGATAGATTTGCAGCATTTAAAAAGTGGGAAAAACTTTTAAGACAAAGAAAAAAGAATGAAAGGAAAAGAGAAGTTAATTTTAGACATAGAACATTAATTTCCTGCTGCAATAGTGATCTACTTAGATGGCATCTGCAAATCAAATTTTCTTTCATTTGATGCTCTGAGAGAAAATCATGAAAGTTATCGGCTAACAGAAAATGAAATGTGAATACTCCCACTTGGACTGTATGAATGGAGCTTAAAGAGCTAGGAGACAGACACCAACTATCACCCAAACCCTGAGTAGAACATGTTGTAAGGCTGTCTCCGAAGCCTTATAGACAGACAAATTTAAAACCTATTGCTACACTTTAGCAAAAAAAGGAAAACAATATGTCACTATCAAAGCAGTAAGCACCTCAACACAAAGTGCAATATTGAGTTTGATTTTAAGTATTTACAATTTGCTAACTCAAGATGAACAACGACACGATTTTAATTTCCACTGATTCTCCCTATTAATGAGCCAATAATGAAAAATGAGAATATATCTGATAACTGCTTTTATTATTTAAGCTCTAACTTTGCAGGTTTACTTTGTACTCAAAGCTTTTAAGTTGAAAGTCTTTCAAGAATTTTTGGAAAAAAAAACATAACGGAAAAGTAGGAAAGGAGAAAAGGTTTCTATTTTAGTGACCATGATCTAACTTTTTATTTAGAATATGAACTCAAATTTGATGATGACAGCCTGAAACTCAAACTTGTTTGGTTACAGTGAAATATGGTAATTTAATGCTCAGCCACAATACTTTATTAGAAAGCATTTTCTTCTTCTTATTTGTTGTTGTAGTATTTTTTTCTATACTGCTACTTTAATACACAGCTGTATTATACCTTAAATTGCATTTTAAATTGCACCTGGTTTATTTCATTATACCTTCAATTGCATTTTGAGCATTATTTGAAATTCTTACGTCAGAATTCTTTACAGTGCACAAATACTGTCTGTATGTACCGCCCTATCGTCTGAACATGGCATCTTTGCTAACACGGCCTAAAAGAAGCCCCCCTCACTTCGCTTTCCTGTGCTCAAAGGTTTTCTCTAGGAAATTCTTCTTTAAAGGTAAGCCTCCCCCAAACAGGTCAGGTTAATTATAGGACCTCCAACATTACACCTTGAAATGTGATCTTGGCCAGTGTGAGATAAAAACTGGGTTTGTTCCAACTACAGTAAGTTGACTCCAAAATGAGCAGAACCGAGCACTAGAAATATCAACATATTTGCTATTTCTTTATCTTTTCTTTTTTGTTTTAATAAAATATTCATTTCAGGAACTATCTATAAACTGTGTTTGTCAAATAAAAAAGACTTCTAAAGATTTAGAGACTAATCGTGTGCATCCTTTATTTTTTACAATCCTTATTCAATATCATTTTTTTCAACAACCACCGGAATATGCTTTCAAGGAAAAAGTGTAACTCAGATATATTTTGTCTCCATATTGATGTGAAGTGGCTCTAACAGCAGAGGACTCAGATATGAGGGGGTGACTGAATAATAGAGCACCACCCTTTCTACCATTGAGTGTCTTTTACACATCATCAATATTTTAAAAGCAAGCCTCAGGCATGTCTGAGTTTTAACCCCAGAGATGAAGCCCTTAAAGCTAGATGAAAGAGAGCAGTGTTGCGTAGTTACTATATAGTCACTATTCGGGAGTAGTCAGCTTTCCACAGGATTTTTTTGGTCTTTCAAAATCTAATTCAATTGGTCCCTTAAAAACAGATTATGGATAAATATTTTGAACCAGAGTCCTATAGATCAGGGTGATTATCACTCTTCTCACCATGCTGAATGATGCCATGTTCGAGCAGCCTCCGTCCCAGCTGCTCGGCCTCTTCCCTGGTGGGCACCTCCCCCTCCTGCAGAAGCCAGTCAATGAACTCTGAAGCAACCAGGGTCCGCTCAAAGGCCACACCCTCCTCTTCTCTAGTCTGCATCAAGTTGTTCTCTGTGTTCATCAACCTATATGAGAAAGAAAAAAACGAGAAAACCAATGCAACGTGTGAAATAAAACACATGAGGTCATCTAAACTTCAACAGTACATTATTATCTCCATTTCAGCAAAAGAAATAGAGGATCAGGAATCCTTAACTAAACTTAACTAAGACACATTTTCCTGAATTCACACACACTGTGAGTTTATTAAGCTGCTCCAGTAAAGTAACAACAGATTTCCCTGGACACTACACTCTGGGTTTAGACAGCCGCTCCATCACTTTAATATAGAAACAGTACTGCAACCTCTCACCTGAGCAACATGACTCATACCACAGGTGCATTTTTCCTTGGGTTTGCTCTCTGGGCCTCTGCTCGGATGAGCCTTAAAACTCATTAGTTCTGCTAGGGGGCTGTGGTTAATCTTTGTGAAGTTAGAATTGCTGTAGAGCAGGTCCTATAGGCATAATTTAGAGGCTGTGATCTTTCTAACTTGCTATAGACCAGTGGTTCTTAACCTTTTTTTGATCTGCCCCTTTTTTAGCTACCCGCATTTCCCCTAAACAGCCTTTACAATAGATGAACAAAGAAACATCAGCTGCAGCAGATAATTGTAGTACATTAATCTACTTTATATCTCAAAACTAATGTGTAATTATTTTCTGGTCTTAACAGTCTAAAAGTATTCAAAATTGCTATTAATACTTAAAAAAAAGAAAAACTATAATTATATCTTCAAATCATTTCTACCATGTACTCTCTACAATAACACTGGGCTTCTCCAGGGGGCGCGTCGCATTTTGCTGACCAATGAGGTACCCTTACTAAAATAAAACTTAAACTAAGTTAAATCCAGGTGGGAAATCTAATCTAAATAAACAACTTTGAACTAAACCTGTCTAAAAATATAAGAAATCTGATCTTTATACAATTAGAACCTTTAAAAAGAAAAACTACATGTAAAGGCTAAAATAACAGAGGCCCTAGATAAGATGTGCTGAAGTAAAACAAGATACAAAATTTTCTTAAGATGCACTAAACTAAAATAGGATCATTTCTGAACTTAAAACAACTAAAATCATTTTTTCTCTAGAACCTCTAGATTAAAAATAATTTTTCATGCATCAGTGTTCATGGCTGAGGTGGTGCTGAGGGCTTTCTGAACTCCGCTAGGCCACACATGAAGAAAGTTCAAACCAGAAAAGCATCATTAGTAACTCCATTAATTACTTGCTGTAAGCCTTCATCGCCAAATACAACACTATTGTGCTTCCCTTCAGAGAAAAGGCCCATGCAAAAACAATATACTAAAAGATTAAAATCATGTGAGCTCAATTAAAATAATGGCTTCAATATATGGTTCAAAACACGGGGGGCCATTTCTTTTGCCGTTTGGCCAAAATAAATAGATAAATATAATTATGCAATCCCTCTTGGTTTTGTTTTGTTTCTTTTTTTTTATTTATTTAGTTTTGTATGTTTACCTAATGGGTGGATTGCTTTAGGTAGAAGTAGATGTTCTGGTTTGAACTGCTTAATCAACATATTAATCTAAAAATAAACAGGTACACACCTGGAAAAAGTTGAACAATGCTTTAACTTCTAAATACATTATCACAAACCAAACTGGTAGATCATGTCATAGATCAAGCTGTGGGGGAATATTCTTAGGAACACTTAATGGCATCTAATTAAAAATAATTAGAGCAAGAAGGCTGCAGGGAAAATATAAACTTATAGTAACAACCAAATAGGAAAGACTCAACAGACTTAGAGTAGGCAGTTCTTTTTGTCGGTCTGACAGATGATATTTAAAGGCATCAGTTTAATTAGAGAAGAAAATAAATTAATCTAGAACTGGAGTCTCCTTTGGTGTTTTGACTAAAAAAAATGAAACAGAAAAGAGGAATGGGCGACTTAAAACAGAGACGTTAATTACCTTTAAATGAGATGGTTATTTTTTATACTGGTTTTCAGAATCGACAAGTGACATACTGTTTATTAGAGCATTAAATAAAGTAGCTAATTAAACCCAGCAGAAAATGTATTTATCAACCAGAGAAAAACATACCCGTGGTTATATGAAAGTTTTGCATCAATCAGTGAACGCAGTAGGCAGGTTTTAGCTTAGGGAATGGACTTAATAAACTCAAAGAAGGTCAGCTTCTGTGTTGATTGGACTGAGTGGAATCTTAATGAATCCAATTTGAACCAATGAAACCATTATCAGGTGCAGCAAAAAGCCTTTTTTTAAAAACACTTCAATTTACCACAGGCAATTAGCTGCACCCTCTCACTTTGGTTCGATCCATTGTCTAATAGTAGTCCAGGGAAAGCTTAGAGGCACCAATGACAAAAAAAACACCAATGCCCTCATTAAACACTGCCTAGGGGAAAAAAACTTTGAGCCAAAGCAAAGAACAAAACAACAAAATGAGAAAACAGGGCTGGAAAACGCTCAGGGTTTTACATAAAGAGTTATTATAACCCATAAATGTGACAAAACAATTACTTATTTTCCCTAATGTCAAAAAACAAAGAGCTGTTGTGTATAACCTGAATGATTGAATGCCATCTGATCCACTTAAACCTTTAAACTCAATAGACTGAGCTGTGCTAACACAAATGCATTAACTCAAAGTACTGTACTCGGTGCTTTAAATGAGAACAGCTTAAGCAATGCAATGCATTATTCATATCCGAGACCTTAAATACAGAGCAAATACTGTGTATGAATGGAGCATGATAACAAAAAATAGGACAGTTGAGCAACTAACCTGGAGATACACAGGATCTCACTCTTTATGGCTAACTCTGCCTGAGTGGAACTCACAAACAGAATATGATGAGACCTCAGCCATGCAAAACTTTTAAACAATACCAATATACTATAGTATAGGTTGACTGAGGGGGCAGCTGAAAGCAAGTTACTGAGGCCTCAAAAGTGTGATGATGAAGACAATATTTCTTTGTGGGCAATGCACCTGGTTTACTTCACAATGGTGGGAGTACACCAGTAAAAAAACAACTAAATTAACAAGGTTTTATCCTTAGAAACACGCATAACAGGTATACCTTTAAATTTAGGTACAATCAGATTTGTAAAACTCATAAAGGACAGGAGGCTAGGCTTTATTTCTGAGTGTTATAGAACTGATCTAAGAAATTTGATCTGTCTTTTTAGGACAAGTTAGATTTTTTTAACTGATGAAAGGAGGTATTAAGTGTATCAGTGGATTTTTGTAATGTTGTTTAGCTCAGTGGTACTGTTGATCTATTGTCAGAATGATAATATACAAGAAAGATTCATACTTCCAGTATGCAGGAGGTGGTAAACAATAGGGACCCTAGCTAAATTAACATCTCTGTTGGATAAAGACTCCCACCCCATGCGTAAAGCTGTTGCTGAACTGGAAAGCTCCTTCATTGACAGACTGCTGCATCCTAAATGCACCAGGGAGAGTTATCACAGATCCTTCCTCCAAGCAGTTGTAAGACTTTATAACTATCACTGTTCCCAACAACCTCAATAATTTGTTACATTCATGCAGATGTTCTGTATTATTTTACTTATATCCATAGTTCCTTTTTTACACTTAAATCAGAATCAGAATCAAATTTATTGCCAAGTAGATTTGCATTTACAGGGAATTTGACTTGGTGTTGATGGTGCAGACAAATTAGATATATATACAGAATACAGAATCTATAGCTATATACAATATAAAACATGCCATATACTATATACAATATATAGTATATAGTTATATAGTAGACTGTGAGTTAATGTGTCTGTAGATGCAACTTTGGTGCAGCTTCTAGGTCCTGAACGGAGAAGGGAGAAGCAGTGTCAGTGTCACTGGGGTCTCTGGGCCATGTTGATAAGGCTGGTAGTGGATGGGAAGAAACTGTTCTTGTGGCGTGAGGTTTTAGTCCTGATGGACCGCAGCATCCTGCCAGAGGGAAGTGTCTGAAATAGTTTGTGGCTGGGGTGCAAGAGATCAGCCACAATCTGCCCTGCACCCCTCAGAGTCCTGGAGGCTACAGATTTGTGTATGAGATGGTGATGAAGGAGGTGAGGTAAAGCAGTGTTAGAAACCACATCTTCCCCCTCTGGAGGTGCATTTGCCAGAATCTTTTTGGGGTTAACCTATAATCATTCTCCATGGTCTCTCCAAACTCCTTTAAGTCCTGAGTTTCTGCCTCTGCAGCCACCTGTGAAGTGGTATGCTTTGCCTCTTAGGACCTGCTTGCAGCTTCAGGAGGCCCACTATGTTAATGGTTAAGGTTTAGAAATGACAGCACTGCATACTGTTGCATACCACTCCACTTAAAGCATTGTGCAATTGACCAGCAAACAAAAAAAAACATAAATAATACTAATTATAGTACATAGGAAGGAACTCAGACACTGTCAAATAAATCCAGTCAAACCAACTGCATTTAGAATTCCCCTAATTTAGTAAAAAAAAAAATATCTCAGTATAGATCCATATTTTCTGTGAATACATTGAATTTTGTAATTGAACATTAGTGAACAAACAGCACACTATTCTTGCACACCAAACACATTTTATCTATACAAAGTCTTCCCACATTCCTCTGTCCTGTACCACACAACAAAGGGCCTCTATTCTCTGGAAGAGATCCAGATAAAGTTGTGTCAGATCTTTGAGTCTAAACTAATCTGATCTTTCTTACTTGAACATTTCTATGTTTGGTACAAAAATATCCATAGAACGCTGTCCTTTCTCTATACTTTTAGAATTATATCCTCAGTTTTCGCCAGTAACCAGTAATTTCAAGCAAACACAGTTTCCAGTTTGCGGCGGAAAACTTCTGCATCCATCGGTGCAGCATGTCAGTGAGTTTGGGTTCCTGAGGTTAGCAAGGCCCCAGAGTAAATTGCAGCTTGAGGAATGAAAGACATTCTTTTTTTAAAGGATGCATTTGTACTTTTTTCTTAGCTGTAACAACTGCTAAACAGTACAGAAACAAAAAAAAAGAAAATTATGGTATTGTAGTTTTATTGCCACTGATGCAACTAGTGGCCCAACACATGCAACAAAATAATCTAATGCACAAAAAAAGTTAAACCGTAAAGGCCAGATAATGGGTAATTCAACCACAAAATGTCACAGTATCCTTTTCTCTGGGTCATTCTTGTATAAAGATAAATCACAGTCTCATCTGCTCATACTAGTTATATCATTTCAAGTTGGAAGTGCACTGTTTATGCTGCTTTGACAGTTTGCAGAAAAAGAGATTAATGCACGCCTAAGGAGTACCGTTTATTTTTCCATTGGGAAAACTAGATGTTTAAGTGTTGGGTGGAACTGGTACTGAATGCTGCATAACAAACTGTTGGCTCAAGTAGTTTACATACCATGGGTAGCACACTGAGAATGTTTGCAGCTACAGAAACCTGACGTTCAAAATAATATTATCCTTGGTATCACACTTCTGTTTTAAGATTCCCATGCTGTCTTATGAGCAGACTGGTCTAGTTTACAGGGTATTTAACAGGATTAACAATGGCTACTGTTCTAACTGGGACAATTCCAAACATCTAAGAAAATAGATGGTTAAAGATCCACAACAAGTAAGTTGTGTTTCTCTATGTTGCAGAGCTTAATGTGCTGCCTTGAATCCTTTGATTACTGTTAGTCATTATGATATACTTCTAAATTTCTTTACTAATACGAACAAAAGTGTGGACTCTAATAAAAACTTAAATTTCCCATCAACAAAATCAAAGTGGGTCTTTTAGGCCGGGAGGGGGTGAGAGAGAGCAATACTTAAGTAGATACTGGAAGGCTTTGTTGAATTTGCATTTTTTTCAAAATCTCACAGTCAAGGTTAAGGGCCTGACTTCTCTTGGGAAAACAGACAGAGAATACAACTAAAAATATGAATTAAGAACACCCTGAATACCAAAATGACAGAGCAATATGGTTTGTACTTAAATATTAAAAACTGAAGGTTTTTTTTTTCCATGTTTAACTGTGCATTAAGGGTTTAAACTAGTGTGCTGAACCATGGTGATTGCATAAACACATAGCTTAAAGGGCTGACTTGACAGCTGCATCCTCTACCCCTGTTTTTTTCTCTTACACAATGGCTGTATGGTTGTGTATATATGTATGTGTATTCCCTGAGGCACTGAAATCAAAAACAGGACTGGGATTAAAAATATGTGCCACCTGATTTAGAAGCACAGAAACAAAGTTTTCTTGTATTCCTCATTATCAACAATCAAAACTTTGACACATACAAAGCTGATGACAAGCAAGAAATCCCTGTTCATGGTTTCCTGAAAACAAAGCTCATGTGTGGACAGAAACCCATGACTCATCACTCTGTTAAAATATGTTTCCAGTCATTTCTCTTTCTCCTCAAATTTGCAGGCTTTCAGCGCAGGCGAGCTCAACTCTTCATGCCCTCATTTAATGGAAGCCATTTACCAGCAGAACAAATTTTCAGAAATGCATGAAACATGTTGTTTATTCCTGATGTACTCAGTGTACATAGCAGCAACTACCGGCAGGGTAGATGATAACAAAATACAAGAAAAAATAGAAAGCAAGGGATTTAAGCTCCCTTTAATCTGAGTATCTGCAAGGAGAAAACTTGCATCCCAGAGCTTTGGGTTGGGTGATTCTCAGACATCGAATTGGGGTACCTATTACTGCATTTATAAAAGACCAATTTAGGGAGTTGCTGAACCTGTTGTACCTTTTGGTCGTCTACTGGCCGTGATTTTGTGAAAGGTTGCATTTTGCATTTTCATGCACCATTTTAATTGAGTTTGAGTTCTCCATTTTATATTACCTTTATTATAAAGTTAGTGGGAGGTAATAATTGCTGATTAAGCTTCCTGTTTTTCTGGGTCATATGTTGTACTGTTGGATATAACTGAGTAGAAAGCAGAAAAAAACACTATTCCTTAAAGAATGGGCCTTAAGGGTGTTATTTTATATGATATTCTACAATTATTGACATGATTGTTATTGCTTAATTTTGCAAATTGGGCCTAAATCTGTTTTAGCGCTACTCTGTATGAGCTGACAGGCAGCAAGTATAGTTGAATTTTCCTATTGGTTAAAACAGTAAAGCTTACATGTCTACCTCACAACACCATGTTCTGGTAAAGTGGGGTGTTTGAGTGACATAATCTCTGCCTTAATAGCATTCTGTTTTCATGTTTGTAGATGCTCGTATTTTCCATTGTTCATTTATGGTCACTACTGCCACTATTACAACCAAAACATTTGTCTAAGTGTTATTCTGACTGTCAGGTACAACTGGAACATAGCATAAACCTTCTCATTCAGATACACTTCCCCTTGACTAATATGGAGTTGAAATTGCTAGAATTGGGAGCATTAATTTATAGGTTTTCAAACCAATATTTTTAAATTATTAGTGAGCTTATTGTTTTAATTTAGGTAGTTGGATTATGTAGTTATATCAAATCCTCCAATTCCCCTCATCCTAGCCACACCACTCTGTTCATCCCCACACTAGGTGGGTTTTTTTTTTTTTTTTTTTTTTTTGCCCGTTGAATAATTTTGCTTCAATTTTTTTTTTGCTTTTTAATGTTCATGAAGCAGTCAATTGCAACAAATGTTGCACAGTCCTGCACAAATGGGGACATCTGGTCACCTAAGAATATGTGAACTGAAGCATGTTTACTTTAAATATGGGATACTTTGCAAATAATTGTAATATGATTAACAGAGAAGGTGTTTATTCTTTATATGTGTACGGTATGTGCTGATAGAACAGCAATGCTTGAAATTACTCCTTTGTTCTTTGGAAAATAATGCTCTTTCAGCTTATTTCAGTTGAAGATACAGAACAAAAAATGACCTACAAGTAGATTGCCTGTCAATCATTCATAATCACATACAGTAGCTACTTAATACAAAACAAGGCCATTACTTCCAAATAAACAGTATGGACAAGTCAAAGCTTTCAAATAACAAGAGATTGGAATTCAATCACAACTCTGATCTTTGCATTTGTACTTTCTAGCACTTCAGACACCCTTATTTATGCAACCATTGGCAGGACATTCTTCAATTACAAAATATATCCTCTTTGAATTGAATACATTTTAAACAAACTATGTCATTAACCCTGTGTGCAATTTTGAGCTTAATCTTGAATGCTGTTAAAAGCTTCCACTTGCTGCATATTAGGCAGATACATATAGATTTTATTTATCCTAAAACCTGTTAATAATGAAATAGGAGTTCTTGTTTTTTTTTTAGAACATTTACATAACAGCCCTATGCTGAAAACATGAGGATTGTCTTGTGTATCCATCAGTCTCCATCCTTCATGGCTGCATTAGCATGTACATGTGTTCCCAATGTCGGTTCTGTGTTTGTCTTACTTTTCATATATCCTTTGCCCCCTCATGAAGACCTTTGCTTCACTATCCAGTGGGAATGTGCCGTCGTCCTTTCTGAAGCGATACAACAGCTTCATGTCTTTGAACTCCCGGTGTTCATCACACACTAGAAATGCACAGTGGAGAAGAAACTTCAGTTACAGTCTCAGCACTTCGCTGGCAAAAAATAAATAAAAATTATCACTGTAAATAACTGTAGACTAACAAAAAGCTACAAATGAATAAATAACATTAATTCCAAATGTAATCAAGAGGAGAAAAAGACAGACGGACGTGTTCATTCATTAGTCGAATTAAGATTGGTTAACATTGAGGGATATTTGGTTGTCCTTATAAAACCGAGGTTTTCAAAGTGGTGGCATCTTTGTTTATAACTCAGGGCTTCTTTCCTGTACAGTAAGTGAAATTACTAATATAACCAGACAACTTGAAATGCCAGCAACAATTCATGTTTCCAAATAGAATGAGGGTCTATAATCAGCCCATGGAGGATATAGGAACATGAGGTATCCCCTAACTCATTTCTTTTTAAGGGTAGTTTAAACCGGGCTTTCCATGAGGGACACATAGTTCCTCTAGAACGTTTTGAGCCAAAGAAGCATCCTGATTATATTCCGGCTGGCTCCCTGGAATATAAACTGACTTGTAAATCCAGACATATGCTTGTCTTTACCACAAATTACACACAAATTATTGCAGATGAGGCTCCAGTAGGCCTACCAAATTCCCAATCCATCCGCCCATTACCCTTGAACAAAACACAGAGACACATTAACTCCTCACATTACAGCGCAGACTCCCCCCTAGATTGGCATGCATTTGTGGTGCAAAAGGATATAATCCAAAGAAATAGTGCAGAGAGAAGACAGTCTAGTCCAGCTTTTTTAAGACGATGAGTTTCTATGTGCATCTTAAAGCCAGGAACCTCCGCAGGTTTCACGTCAGTATTCTGGACTGACAGTGAACTGGCTCTAACCTCACATGAAAGAAATGGGACACTGCTCTGGTCTATCACCGTGAAGATTTAGCTAAGCCAAATATGATATGGATCAAAACCTACAAATAAGGAAATAGACCACTGAAATGTACTTTTCTCCTGGGATGAAGACGGCTTTTCTTTATGAAGCTGGTAAAAGAAAACTGATGAGCTCAGGGATGACCTGAGGTTCCTCCACATCACAATAAGTCAGTTGATCAGGATGCCTCATGGTTCCCTTTGGAGGTTTTCTAGGCACATAGGGGAAGGATAACCTCTGGATGACATAAAACTCACTTGAAGGACTAAATTTTTCTTCTAGTATGGGAATGTCTTGGAATATCATGGTATACGCTAGAGTGCACCTGGGTAACAGGATCTCTTGGAATTCCTCCTTACCTCAATGACACAATCTCATTTACATGAAGGAAATTAGATTGAGACTAGTTAAAATGTCACTTTAAAAAAAAAGGCATGTCTTATTTATTAAACTAAAGGTTAATAATAAAACAGTCCAAAGTAACATCTTTCCATTTCATGTCTCTAGTCCAGAAAAAAATGCAACTCTTTTTAAGACAGGTTGCCTGGGCAGACGTGGAGAATCATCTACTACCTGCTCCCAGAAAATGTCAAGTTAGGCCCTTGCTGTGAAATAATACACTAGACATTAACACCTAAGATTTACTTACCCTATCTTTTTCCAACATAAACAAACATTTTAGCCTTACCGTGGTGAATAATGCTCTGGTCCAAAAGTTTCTGCATGATCTTAATAGCCGTGTCCCGGTCTGAGGCCTCCTTATGTTCGATTAGCCAATCAATGAGCTCCTTGGCGACGAAGCAATTTGGGTAAGTTCGAAGGTGGTGCCTCCGATCCTTGATCACCTTCCCCTCATGGAGTCGCAGCCTGGAGACAAACAAGCAGCAGAGGAAATGTGATTAATGCTCGATTCCTAGAAAGTAAGACAAGAATCTTTCTGCTCTATTTTTAACAGTTGGTCATTCAGGGTTTGTTCTTACAGGCTGGTAAACATGATCTATCTGATCTTGCATTTCCCTTTTAAGTTGCACTCTGGGTCTCTTAATCCAACAATCAGAACAAACAAACAATCTGACTGGTTTACTTGAAGAATAACCAGAACCACAGAGCTTCCACTGAGCTCATGGTGGATGTAAGCTGTCTAAAGCCATATTCAGCGGTCTATAATGTATCTATCAGACTGTGAAACAGCTGAAACCACACCAAGGATCAGAACCTGCCCTAGATGCCTTTTTCTGCCCATCTCTGTGTCCTATACCTGAACTGGAGTGTTCTGAAACAGCCCCAGCCAAGCTTCTTGCAGCTAGCTTGATCCACTCCATGCTGAGTCTGTGTACAGCATCACTCTGAATTATAGCAACAGCCGGCCCTACTGCTCTGCCAAGTCTGTAGGATGAGAAAACAAACGTGGCTAACAATTCACAGAATGAACAACTAATTTGGCATTGCATGGGTTTTGCTTTTCTCCTCTTTTGAACGTTTATGACTAATGCCATTGAAAATTAACTCCCACTAAATATAGAATTTGAATTATAACTCATAATGAGGAATTTATCACTTTATTATTGAATGCATTTATTGCTTCCAGTACCTTGATTTTAAATCTCATTGCACCCATGAAACTTTTGTCATGGTTCTACAATGACCCTATTTATAAAAGTATGATCCGGTCACAAGACTTCCTTAATCAGCCATATGTCTCTACAGGCCCTGATAGCCTTCTACAAAGCAGGACTAGCCAGAGATCTGTCTGCCGATATGCACTCTCAGATTTTAAACACAGCAACTTCTCTATTATCCATTCAGGAACCGGGAGGCACATGTTGCACGAGTCTGACTCAAGACAAAAATGAGCAAACAAGGTGTGGACTGTGCAAACTCCTAGTTTTAATCAAAGGAATTTTTACAGCATGGCTCACTTAAAACTTGGGATTGCTCAATGTTTCTCGACATACTTTAGGATGGGATCTGTACAGAAGGGATCTCTCATAGAGCAAACAGCTGTGTAGTGTTTGCTGGTGTTATAACTTGTAACAAAACCTGTTCCATTCACCCAGAACAGAGCTTTGAGCTATATGCAACGATCAGCATTCTACTGTAGTGACTGAACAGCATGATTATTCTAAGCAGGTCCCATGTTTACCCTCGACTCACTTGTTATACTGACAGCATGCTAACGTCTTCCCATTCTGATTCATACCGTAGAAAATATTTAACTTGTAAGATAAATTTGGCAATGGGTGTATTTTAAGTCAGTATTTGTTATCTAAAATGAATGACAGTCATGCCCATATTGTAAAGACAAAAAGAAATGTAATAAAATATATTTAGTGGGACAATCAAAGACTTGCTAATCTATCTATCTATCTATCTATCTATCTATCTATCTATCTATCTATCTATCAACACAGATATGGAAGCGGTCCAAATGGGCTGCTCATATCATTTCCGTTAGAAATATGGTAAGATTAGCATTAAAAAAATGGTACAAAAATTCACAAAAGTCACAAAATTGCTCTTTGTTTGAGTCAGCCTTGTGATATGTCATGGGAGAAGACAAATGGCTGTCCGGTTGACAAAGGGAGGTTGTAAAGTGCTGCAAGCACAGTAACCACTAACTGCACCGCTGCTCGTTATTATATCTTTTCAGGGTTAGATAACCCGACTGCTAAGAAAACATTATGGTCTTTTAGAAATCTTTATTGAGATTAAGTCTATCAACATTTAGGTTTAAAGAGGGACACAGAACATCTTAAACCAGACTATGGAAACACAGAGTACATGGTGTTAAAATTTCAAGTGTCCAGAACAGGGACCACTTCCCTAAGCAGCTCTCCATTCACTGACACCAGTGATGCTGGCAACTGGCAGCTTCTGTACACAGCTGTGCCAGAAACCCTCACATACACACAAACACACACACACAACATACAGTTATAAGCATAGCAATGCTCTCTAGAACTAAAGAAGAGTACACTCTGCACCTGGTAGAGCAAGGAGGAAAAGCTATTAATCTCTGTTAGATTACGCAATTCTTAATGGATGCTTCTGCAAGAAAAAAGTAAAACATTTGCACCCAATAGGATCAAACTTTTTCATTGCAGGATTTCAACTGGGGGCTGAAATTCCAGACATTGGTGCAATGCTTCCCTACTGAGCCTCTATTCATCGCTGAGGTCATGAGGCAGTGAACGCCACAGTTTTTGGAGCCTCTCTTTACATATGGTACCATAGGCCTGAGGTTTCATTCTGTCAACAACTCTACCAGGGCAACTGCTATATAATTCTCTGATAGCAGATATGGGCATGGCATGGTTATAACCTTGGGTTAGCGGGTTCAGTATATTGCTGCAGCTCAAAGGGCACTGAATCAGTGGAGCAACCAAATAAAGGGGTGTTATGCAACCCTGTAGAAAGCAGCAATAACAAAGCAACAAGAGTTACATGGGTATGCATGCATGGATGCCTTTGTTTGACTCAGCATGCTGCAGGGAGGCTGTTCAGTGCTGCTGTAGTTGCAGTAGGGACCATTATATAAAGCATGTTTACCACACAGAGCAGGGTGTTATGTCCTGTCATGTCTTAGTTTGCTCTATGAAGGAGACAAAAACCGGAATTATTGGCGATTATGAAATGTGTTGTTTTAGGATTCATGCTGCAGATTTAGTGTTAAAATGTGGTTTGTAGCCGGAGTGAGAGACCTACCTCAGCTGTTCTCCAGTGACAAGCACCTCAGCCAGCCGCTCCAGTTCTGCAGCCTTCTTCTGCATGGTGGTCCCGATCCGGTCCATCCCTCTGCTAAATAAAAAAAAAAAAAAAAGGCACCCTGTTTTGTGAAATTATAATGCTAAGTATGAATCGTGCATCAGCGTGGGCTTTAACTTGCAGAAAAAGTAACAAAGACATTCCTTTACATCACCTACAGCCACCTACCCGTGAAGCACCATGGAGAGCGCAGCGGTCAGCCTATATGGGATATCGCTTGAGTAAAATTAACAAAGATCTATTCCACGTGAGGAAAATATAGAAAACTTGGAAGTGACAGCAGCCCCCATAAACAATTATATCCGGCGTTTAATTCCTGGATAGCATCCAAAAATAGAAGTGCTCATTAGTGCATTTCTGCAGCGCTTTTTCTGAGGCTCTCTGATAATAATCAGCGCAGCTGGAACTAGTCTGTCCCTTCAAACGGCTTTCTGAGCGCTGCCTGTCACTGACACATGTTATGTTTTCCTCCCAGCACAGCGCACACAAAGCCCCCACCCGCATGTTAGGATCTGCTGCCGTCAGAGGGGGAGTTAACCGGAGTGGGCGGAGTTAGCTGAGGGTCAGCTCCATTCCTACACCGAGTGGCTCTGTTTAGTAAGGAAGAGGATTAGGGCCACTGAAAAACACAAAATAAAAGTTAACTGATTTTTACATTTTATTTCAGTATAATATGAGAAAAAGCCAGAATTCTGACTTTTTTCTCAGAATTCTGGCTTTTTTTTCTCAGAAGTCTGAATTTTTATGGAGAATTCTGACTTTTATCTGACATTTTTTCTCACAATTCTGACTTTTTTCTCACAATTCTGACTTTTCTCATAATTCTGACTTTTGCTTTTCAGAAATCTGTCTTAAATCTCATAATTCTGACCTTTTCCCTCATAATCTGACATTTTTCTCACAATTCTGACTTTTTTCTCAGACATCTGACTTTAATCTCAAAATTCTGACTTTTTTCTCATAATTCTGACTTTAATCTCAGAATTCTGACTTTTTTCCTCATAATTCTGACTTTAATCTCAGAATTCTGACTTTTTTCCTCATAATTCTGACTTTTTCTCAGAATTCTGACTTTTTCCTCATAATTCTGACTTTTTCTCATAATTCTGACTCTTTTCTCATAATTCTGACTTTAATCTCAGAATTCTGACTTTTTTCCTCATAATTCTGACTTTTTCTCAGAATTCGGACTTTTTTCTCAGAATTCTGACTTTAATTTCAGAATTCTGACTGAATTCTGACAGCTAACAAACATATTAACATCAAGCCATAATATATCCTTTTTAAAGAGTAATCTAGCTCTCTTGTTTTAATTACCTTCTGCTCCTCCATTAATGAAATAGCATCACTGGGGAAACAGCAAAAACAACTCACATATTTGTCAGTGAAGCTGAGTGCTCCCAAATCTCTTCCTTCATGGTGCCCATTTACATTAAGATCCAGAATTCTGAGATTAAAGTCAGAATTGTGAGGAAAAAAGTCAGAATTCTGAGATTGCGGTCAGAATTCTGAAATTTTTCTCATATTATACTGAAATTAAAGTTAAAAATCGGTTAACTTTTTTTCTTTTTTCAGTGGCCCTAATCCTCTTCCGTAGTTTAGGGAGATAGGACTTTAGAAAGTATTTAAATAGGGAACAGGAGTTTGTTTTACTTTTAAATTTCAAGCACCTTTGATTTATTTATTATACATGTATTCATTTATCTATCTATTTATTTATTTGTTTGTTTATTCAGGTAAAGAGTTTGAGATCCAGTTTGAATTTAGTAACATGACAAGAGGCTGCATGAATAAATAAAGATATACAGTTGCCTACATGGTGCAACATATAACAAACATTTACATTCCAAGAAGTAGATGGATAAGGAGAAACAGAAATGGTGCTTAAGTTTAGGTTTAAAGGATTGTTAGCAGGAACCATAGAGTTTTGAATGTTCAGAATGTGGATAAAGATGGGGATACAGATAGGGATCAGCGGTGTACCGGTAGGTTTGGGGGAGCGGTGGTAGATGCTGTGGGGATTCTATACTTGATAATGTTACTTGATCTTGTTTGATAATAGTTGCACAAGTTAATTATAAGATTAGTGGATGTAATTCAAAATAATATTATTAGTTTTTGCAGTAATGCTGTTTGTTTTTGTTATATTATTGGTAGTACTAATTGTAACACCTAATAGAATAATTAATCAGCATATTATTTGAATAATCATTTCTTTGTGTCTGAAATGCCTTGGATTTGAGTATTTCAGTATTTAGTTATTTACAATAATTCTTTCATACCATTTCTTTGTAGCCCTTCATTAGCACTAATTTCTTAGATCATTTATTATTTTATTGCTTACTTATTAATTTTTCAGGTCTGTATTGATGTATTTGCAGTGCACAGGAACCCATCCCATAGTCAAGCTTTTGGCATCACTAAAATACAATGACTACTGTTGTCAAGGTGTTTAGTGACATCTGTATAAATGTAGACTGTGGTAGAACCTCGGTGCTGGTATTATTGGATCATAGTAGTGCAGTATTTACTGTAACACTGTTGTTGAACACTGTTATATTATAGTGTCTGGAAAGTGAGTTGGAATTTCTATTACAGCACTGAACTGGTTTAAATCCTTGTTGAAGGGCAGGGACTTCTTGTGTCAGTAGGTGATTCTAGATCAGACACCACAAAATCATATATGAGGTTCCCCAAAGGTCCATCTTGGGGCCCCTCTCATTCATTGTTCAGATACCAACCCTAGTTTGGAGTGGTGAATAAAAACATTACCCAATTAAAAGGAATAGCAAAGTTTAATAAAGCTTTCACAACTTTCCCATTTTGGATTTTGTTGCTTACTTTTCCTTTAACTAGCACTGTCCTTGTAGTGTGCAGTTCCTATGAAGCGCCTTAATTTTGGTTTGCATATTTTGTTTAATTTGATCTCAATCATTTCCTAGTATTGTTTATTGATGGTTGCTTTTACATAAACCCCTAATGCTTTAATTCGGAGGTTTTCAACAGGGGGTCCGGGGCCCTGGGGGGTCTACAGAGGTACCGCATGGGGGTCGCGAAAGTTAGTATAGAGTGACTTTAAGACCAGTTTGATATAACAAAATTTCATACAACATATATAATTAAGGAGTCCCCGCTCCATCTCGCCATCAGTTTGGGGGCCCTTGGTCTGGAAAACTTTGAAGACCACTGCTTTAATTGATAATGGGGAAAAAAAACTTGGGTCTGAGAAGAGTTCACTGAAGCAATTGAATAGGACCATCGGTCAGCCTCTAAATGATTTTGGCAAACCGTTCAGAATGTCCGGAGGGAGAAGCTGTGCTGCACTAATACTGTTTACAGAGAGAGTGGGGAACTGCTGACCTTGACTGAGGACACTGTCAGATGGCGGAAGAAAAACTTTAAGGGTCTCCTCATCCTGTTCCATGGTGGAGCAAGAGACTGGATGATCGGAGTAGCGCTTGTTCGTCACAAAAGCTAAATTTACCAAGGTGATAGAAAAACTAAACATTGGCAATACTTTAAGGGTGGATAAGATCCGCCCTGAATATGTCAGGTCTCTGGATGCCTTTTGGCTATCCAGGCTGACACACTTTTTCAACATTAAGTGGCAACTGAAGACAGCACCTTTGGGCTGGGAGAATGGGCTGATGCTTGAGGTGTGTTCCAACCGTAGGGGATTATACTTCTCAGCTTCCCTGGGAAGGGTTGCCTGACAGTGTTGGAGAGGACAGTCCAGCTGAGTATGAACCTTGGCATCAGGAGGAGTGCTGCTTTCTTCCTGCTGGTGGAACACTAGACCAGCTCTTCACCCTTGACCGGGAGCTTGAGGTTTCCTGGGAATTTGCCAAAGCAATCCAAAAATGCTTTATATGGCTGGTGAAAGAAATTGTGCACTGTTTCCCTTGTGGTGCCCTGTGGAGGGTGCTGCAGGAGGACAGAATAAGGGGCCCTTCAAAGAGACTCGATATCTCCTAGTCTTTACAGAGCTAGGAGTCTTGTCTGCGCTGTAGGCAATAGGACCCATTTCCAGTGCATGTTGGACTCCAGCAGGCCTGCCCTCTGTCACCGTTCTTCTAGTAACCTTTATGACAGGATTTCTTGGCACAACCAAGGGCTGGAGGGGGTCTGGTTTTGGGGGCAGCGTATTTTGTCCCTGCTTTTGGTGCCGGTGGCTCCTTTCTGCTAAACAGCATGCACTTGGACAGATTGCAATCAATTGCGAAAAGCCAGAGAGAAAAATCAGATTCGCCATGACCATCATTCTCCTCCAGAAAAGGGTGGCTTTCCCTCTTCAAATAAGAGGAGAGATCCTGCGTCACATGAAGGATTTCAAATATCTTGGGATCCTGTTTGCAGGTGAGTAGAGAATGGGGTGGTAGAACAACAAATGGATCCGTGTGGACGCAACCAAAAGCAGATATTCACCAGTCTGCAGTGTTGAAAAGGGAGATGATCTGAAAGGTAAAAAACTTACAGTTTCCTGTTAAGTGTATGCTTCTACCCCCACCTCTGTTTAAGACGTTTATGTCATAACCAAAAGATCTTCAATATAAGCCGCTGAAATTAGCTTCCTCTGCGCAGAGGCAGGGACTCTGTACAGATAGGATGAGAAGTTCAGCCAGAGAAGAGGCTCCTGGATGGAAGAGCCTATTTTCCTACGCATCAAACGGAGAAAGCTGTGGTGGCTTAGACTTCTGTCTCAGATGACCCTAGAAGCCCCGTATGGGAGGTGCTACAGGCACGCCCCACTAAGAGGAGACACAGGGTATTGCCCAGGACACTCTGGGGGGAATAAGTCTCTCGTCTGTCATTGAAACGCTTCCCCAAGAGGAGCTGGAAGAGGTGTCGAGGGTGAGGAAAATCTACGCTTCCCTGCTGAGACAGCCGCCCCCCGATCGCAGATAAGCCAAACACTACAAGAAGTTTCTAACCTGGCCTGGGCATTCCCAGCATGTTTGTAGCGACAGTGTAGGGGAAACCTCCCTTTAAACAGAAAGAAACCTCCAGCAGATCCAGGCTCAGTGTAAGCAGCCATGTGTCGAGGCTGACTGGAGTTCAAGGAATGCTTCTCATCAAGTCTTGGATCTTTTCTTAACCCCCAAAAAATGAAAATTCCATTCAATTAGGTGATCGATGATATCAAGCAAGAAAAAAGTTTGATAACTGAACAATTTACCTGCTAAGAGTTTACCTGTATCTGTATGGCTCAGGTGGATAGATAGATTACTCCAGCTCCACTAGACTCAGCATGATACATGTCAGTTTAGGTAGTTGACAACATCTCTGTAGGTTTGCCAGTGAGTAAAGTGCTTTTCATTTTAAATTGGCAGATTGAGAAGAGTTCTGTGGGATGGCAAAGAAAAGGCAGAAAAAATTGCCGTTATTTAGAATCTAACCCTGCTTTAAACATCTATTACAACCCTACAGTACAAGGTATCCGAGTTGTAGTTTTTTAAATATATATTTCTTTTTGTTTTTTACCATCATTGCCTCTTTGTTCATTTAGTCACCCTGCCTCCATCAGTTCTGCTCCTGCTCTTTTTTTCCTCTATGCTCGGCCTTAATTCTCTTCAGCTGTTGCTAATTCCTTCATGATTGCTCTCACCTGGTTGCCCTGCCTTTCTATTCACTCTCCACCAGTGTTTAAACTGTTGGTTGACATTACTTAATGTGGAAATCTATTGTTACTTTGCTCTAGCTCTATTTTCTCAAATCATAGTTGTTCTGCTGTATGTTTTTCATTGGATTAATAAAAATACTTTTCATGTCATGGTGCTCTGGAGTTCCTGACTGGATTTTGTCATCAAAGCATTTAATTATGTTTTTTCTGTCTTGGTCATGGATCACATTTATGACATATACTTATTTTAAAATGATAATACAATCTTTACAGTGCAGACTGAAATCATTTTCCAGCTACAGTCACAATATTTTCTGATTCTTTGTGCTTTAACATTTGATTTTATTGCAGGATTTCAGCATTCCTTCCAGGCCTTGGCAATGTTTTCAATTTGCAAAGCCCATTCTCTGACATTCAAAAGTTGAAATAGATTGATTATCCATTCAACCATCATGTAATCACTTATCAAATATAAACAGAACAGGATCAAATGTGAGATCATTGGTCAATTCAAGATTTAAACGTGTTTAATTACAGTTACAAACATTAGTGAGTTAATAAATCAGACCAAATAAAGTCTAATTAGTTGTATTGTTTTTGCTTTGTATTTTCACCAATAGTCATATAGAGGGCTTTCTATTTTTATTCATTGTACCAAACTTTCCTCATCTTGACAAATCTAAAAAAATGCATTAAATGAAAAAAAAAAAAAATTAAAAAAACTAGTTTCCTCTTGCATGTCACACTTTCTTTAAAAAGTGCTCATTGCTAATTAGTCTGAACTTAAAAAAAATAAAATCACTGAATCACATTTTTAGGCGATGAATGTTTAGTTTAAATGACATAAGCAAGATAAACACGTGTTTTTGATGCCATCTAGTGGCCTGAAGGATTAACTGACTTTGCTGGAGAAGGCAATGAGACTGACCCATTGCTGTACAGAGCTAAAACAAAGAATTATGCACTGGTCATGATGGGGAGTATTTTCCTTTTAGAATTTCAGGTTATGAGTGCTGGCATCTCTTACTTAAAGCAGAATGACAAAATAATCCTCTTATTCCAAAGGAAATTCCTTTGTAATAAGATGAGCACAATCTTTTAGAATTTAATAGAAAATCCCTTTTTTTGTCCCACAGTGGGGAAATTGTGGCATTACAGCAGCAAAAGATTATAGCAAAAGTGGTCACACAATGTGGACCTCATAATGTGTATAAAAATAACAGAATAAGTGGCAGAGTTAAAAAATAAAAAAATGAAATACTACACTGTACAGTGTTTTTACAATATAAATACTGTGTATCTGCAGAATGAGTAATCATTATACAGCTGTGGACATTCTTACAGTGGTGGATATGTAAAAATAGCTGCAACACCATCGATGTGCAAAAATGACAGCAGCATGTTATATAAGTGACTAAGACAGAACCTGTGCAAAATCAGCATGAATGTAACAACTTATGGAGGATGTTGGGAACAGTGATGGTTATAAAGTCTTACATCTGCTGGGAGGAAGGATCTGTGATAACGCTCCCTGGTGCATGGCTCCCCTCTGAGGTATTTGGAGGTGGGTCAGGTACCGGGACATCGTACTCAGTAACAGCTTTATCTAAACAGTTTTACTCAAATGATACTATAAAGTTGTTATCTGAGAAACAACTTGTTATTCTGTTATAGGTGTTAGGTAAAAATGCAACTTAGTGATCATAACTTCTGATTTACTATTTGCTAAATGATATCAGGTAACATAATATATATTTCAATTCTGCTGTTTTAACGAATGAAATAAAATAAAAAATATTTTTTTAATCATGAAATTCATGAAACTGATGCTTTAGATAGACAGAGATCAGATGGTTAGTTACTTCCAAAAATGCACACATTACTGTGTATGTGGTTTATTCACTTGGCCTTCAAATGACACAGCAGATAAACAATGGAGTTTAAAAAACAAAGCTTGAGATAAATAAATAAAAAGTCACACTAAAACATTGAAAACTGTAGGTGTTTGTTTCTCAGGTGGATTTTGTTAAATACAAACTTGTTCTTAAGTGAAGTTGCTAATAAAGGGTTAAGTAACCAGAAATTTTACTCAAGCGATATGATACCTTATTTCTTCATGTAAAAACTTCAAAACAGCAAAATAAGATATTTTTTTTTAATTGAAGTTACTCAAATAAATGTAACTGCTACTCACCTCTGCAGGTTTATCATAGGCTGATGGAGAAAGCCTGTTTTAAAAACACATTTGGTTATTTTGAATGATTTAAGGTAGACTCTATTAGGTTCATTGGTCATTATTTGTTTAGTGTAATATTTATAAGCATTTTTATGAAACTATAACAAATATTTGGAGTTAGGTTAAATAAAGATTATAAAATTCACAGCCATTAAGAACCTTAATTCAAAATCAATGCCACCCAGAGAGGAACAACATCCCCTGTACTTTTGATTGGTTTGGTTTCCCACAGAGCATCAGTTTTGAGGTCTTGTCAGATTTTCCATAAGATGCCTTCACATTATAGTGTGATGGATTAAGTAAATTTCAGTGTCCATTTTTTGCAACATAGTGTTCTGAATGTAGGCCATCAAAGTCCATTTTACTCTAATCTACAGAGAGCACTGCTTTCTGCAAGTTTGATTAACCTGCTGTGGGTTTTTAAATAATAGAAAACATTGCAAGATAAAAGAATAAAAACTGGCAAACTGGAGGATGGCTGATGGTGCAGAAGAATCCATTGCTCATTACTGCAGGGGAAAAAAAAGATCTTCAGCCCTTTAGGTGAGGATCAGAGATACTTCTATGAATTATTTAGATCTCTAATATGTCAACACTGTTGGAAGCTTCTGATGCATGTACAGTATATGGTATATGGTCCTAAATGTTACCTATGTTGCTTTAACAGGTAAGAACTGAATGATTATTTTAAAGGAAAGAGAAAAAGCAAAGAAATGCAGGTCTATTAAAATTTATTAAATATCTTTACATTATTTAAACAGCTCAAAGTAACCGACAGCTCTTCATCCTATCCAACAGCTGGTTTGGACACGAGGTTTTTAAAGACAATAAACAAAACAGAATTAAGTTAGTAAAATTCAAACATGACAAAACTCTGCAAACCGCCCAGCACATTTTTATGATTCGGTCACAGGCTATGTATAAATTATTCAATGTGTTTTCTATTTGTTTGATTTAAACAATGTTGTGTCAAGAGTGAATAAGGAAAAGCAGACCCAGGATATAAACACCAGGATCTGCCAGCCTAATGTTACATAGAAAACCCAGGAGAGGGACTTAGTTTAACAGAGGAGAAAATAATGCTACCAGGTATTTTAAAGCTGTGTTCCTCAGTTATAAAAGAAGAAGATCTGTATTGATGTGAATTAGGAAGCACTTGAGAGATTGGAGTCACTGGAACAGGTGTGTTCAGAAGTCATTGGGTCTATATATCTTTATATGTAGATAAAAATGATCATAAATGTCAAGAAATTGCTGCAAAAATAGAAATAATTAACTTTACATTTTTGAATTTTTTTTTCCTAATAGTAATTTCAAAACACGACCCAGAAAAAACCTCACAGAATCAACTAAATGAGAACTATTGATGAATTAAACTGAGCTTTCCCTAGAAGCTATGGAGGCACAGATGTGAACCTGAAGACACTCCGAATAGAAAATTAGTAGATCAAAAAATATTTACAAAGACAAACATATTGATATCTTTAGGAAAAATAATTATATGGCACTGCTTGCAAAGTCTGTTTTCAAAATAGAGCTTTGGTATATCACAACGCTTCATTTATGTTTCCTGCTTACATGAAATCCTGCTTCATTAATATTCCCATCCAAACACACAACACAGGAGAGTGACTTAATAAACCGGTCAATCCTCTACAACAAGAATTGAAGACGCCCACTCCTGCTGCCGAGATTTGTAGCTCCTGCTCGGATCCAGCAGGTGTCTCCCTCCACTAACGGAGCTGTTAGTATGTGGAGGCAGCGACTGAAGGAGGACAGCCAGGCTGGATGTGCTTCAGGTGGCAGGAGTGGCAGAGGAGGTGTCCGTTCAGGGGGTAGCAGCGGTGACCCTCTTCATCATTCAGCTCCATCTTGCAGTCCTGGAAAACAAAACGGTGTACAAATCTGATAAAAACGAGCGCCCAGATGTTCAGTAAATTTCCTCTTTTAAAGAAAACCCAACATAAAAAAAGCTCTGATTTTACTCTGATAAAAAAAATAAATAAAAATAATAATAATAATAATAAATAGAAGCTGTCAATCAGACCAGGAGAAAAACAAACATCAAATCTACATACCTCCTCGACTAAGCACTGCGTAATTACAAAGACTGCAATTAAGATTAGGGATCTGCTTATTAAAACTTCATTTAATGAGCTACTCAGGCTCCAGAGCTCAAAGTCACTGAGCACACTGTTGTTTCACGTCCTGCAGGTGAGAGGAGACTTGGTTCAGACTCACCTCACAGTGGTAGCATTCAACATGATAATCTTTGTCCATGGATACGACTCGAATGGTTTCATCAGAGCCCTGGAAGGAAAACAAAGCAGAGAGCCGTGTTGGATTCAGTTAATCAGGTTGAGTTAAATATTGATAAGTAGGAGTGGAAGGATTTTATGCTTATCGCTAGTTGCTCAATCATTGTTCTTCAGCAGTTTTAATTCATCCAGCTTCTGACATATTAGAACCCACGTCTATATGATAAATAAGGTGCTTCTGAAGGTAGAGGCCTTAGACTGTTTCAACTGATTAATGCTGTGAAGTGGTGGCCAACTGTCTGAGCCCAACAGCAATATTCATTTTTAACCTGCTTCAGTTTCATCCAGTTTAAATGAGTTTAGTATAAAGGGACTGATCAGATTAAACGAAATTGATCATTAAATTAATAAAAAGTTCCCATGATTAAAAAACTAATCTGCTGTCACTATTAGCACTGAAATGGCTTCACGGAAGATTACTGCTCCGTGCGCAAGACAGAATTCATAATCAATTATCAAATAATCTAAAACTTCTAACAGAGATATTCAACCGGACCAAAAAAAGTCCAGAAGGGTCCAGGACTGTCTGGCAAAAAGAAATCATTAAGAGTAGAGTCCAAAAAAAGCTAGGATTCCCACCAGTGCAGAGCTTGTGTGCTAACGACAGCAGGCAGGTTTGTGCTTGTAAAAGTCTGGTTTTAAGGACTGAAGAAGCGCAGCTCAGATGCAATTTTTCTTCATTAGAAATATTCTGCAGGAAGAACCCAGATCTGAATGCAGGGGGACAGAGTGTAGTTCTCATTTCCAAAACTTTCCTGTTTGTCACAACCATGAGGCAGAAAAAAATAGGAATGCTGCCATATTAAAAGATCCTGCTGCTTTCATATGTAGGTGTAAGTTGAGACTCACTCGTAACTTTGCCTAAAATGATTAGAGTCGGATCAACTCTCCGCAACGATCCACAGATATTTACCCAAAGTCTGAACTAGGATGGAGTTTAAAGTTGTTTGTTAAGTTATTAAGCGTTAAGATTTTCAGTCTAAAGCCGGTAAACTCTGCAGATCTCAGTTCTATCCAGAATCCATCGATGGTTAAAAACATGTGAAATGTTCATCACTGAACCATCATCCGACATAGATTAAACTACACTGATTCTCAAGAGAGGAGATTTCATTGCCATCAGAATAAAAATGTTCTGTATCTCGAAGCATCATAAAAAAGAAAAACAAAAACAGCTGTCAAAAACATCTTACCTCTGAGGGCAGGATGGGCTGGTTACAGGCGGCACATTTAGGAGCCAGAACCCTGAGAGGCAACATGGAGGGAAACTTTAATGTATATCACAGCAAAAAGACTCAAAGGCAATTCAATATTCTGCTACCGGTAAATTAAAATAATACAAAAAAGACTCCTTATCCATATTTTCAAAGCTTTAACTCACTGAGCCTCCGGAATTTCTTTCTTCTAGATCCAAACATCCTAACTCTCAGAGTGAGATACCAGGTTTTCTAATGTACGCAAAGGAAGAGTGGGAGCAAAGAGAACCAAATGATATTCTCTCCACCATGATCTCTGGAGGAAACAACAAGGCTTGTTCAGTGCGAGTGGCCGTGCCTCCAATCAAACATAATAAGGCTCATCTGATTGAAACCAGCAGGAGAACATGTGGGAGCTGCCAACAGGCACGCGCTCCGTGGTGCTGGACATGCTGTCCACATGGAGAGCAGCAGCTGCACCTAAAAGTTTGACTCATAATCAGATGGATTAGAAGTTTTTATTCTTTGGTTCTTGAGTCATAATGAAAAGATTCTTCAGAAGCACAGTTGACTTTCATTCTAATGGGTGTCAGAGGAACTGGATTTGTCCTCATGGACCCGAACAGCTGTGTCCATACCAGTCTTCACACCTTGAACCAAACCGTGATCTTTTCTCCGGGCTCTCGCCATGCCAGGCTGCTGTTCTCATGTGTCTGCCGAGCGTGGACCTTCAATTTGCATTTGGCAGAAACCTGAGAGAACCTCCCGTCAGCTCAGACAGGTCGTCCCAGTCTCACCCTTCACCAGCAGTATAATTATCACAGAGTTAACAGTTTGTGCTGGGACCCGAGAGACCCCACATACTTTACACTGAGTCACATTTTAGCCACTTGGACTGGTATGCATCCGTAATACAGCGAGTGCAAAAATGTTCATATTTCCTGATTTTAATTCTCATTTTCTTACTTTATAACCACAAAACCTTCAGTATTTGATTTAAATTGTATGTCAATGACCAACACAAGTTTCACATTTTTACATGTTTGGTTAACCAGCTAATTATCCTCTTTTAGGTCTGCCCCCATCCATTATTTTAGTAACTGATTAAATTAGTAATCATTTTTTCAATTGTTCAAGATGTAATTTAACTAAATTTTCATTTTTGAAAATAAAAAAACCATTGACGCTTCATAAACATGCATTTAAATAAATTATAAAGACATACAGACGAGATTTCTCATCTTAATTAGAAAATAATTATATTTTTTATAACGATTTGTCACAGTTACTGCTATATGTAGCTTATTCTTTCAGCAAACTGCATGCATCAGAGTCTGTGAACCATTACTCTAAGTAAAAATGCAATTACCAAATTACTTGACTAAAGATAACTTAAATTATTGCTTCCCCACAAATAATCTTATTAACCGTTTTAGTGCAGTTCTCATTCCACCTCACAACTATTCCATGCCCTGTGTAGATCAATTACATACAATCCTAATAAAATACAAGCAGGTGTGAAAAAATGAGGAATACGTTTATGTGTTTGGCCACATGTTCACCTGTGGTAGTCTTTGACACAGTAGATTTTATTTTCGGTGTCCACAGTGAAAGGAACTCCATCAAGGCTCTCGTTACAGATCACACAGCGGAAACAGCCGGGGTGGTACGACTTCCCCAGAGCCTGCAGGATCTGTAGAAGGAATCCGGTGAAGTACATCAATAACACTTCTGTCCACATTCAAGTTTTCTATCAGAACAAACCAATACATTTGTGAAAATTGTTTAGAAACATATGATAAGATGACTCTCAATTTCTACCATTTAAGTTGTTTTGGTCCTATTAGAATCAAGGACATAATTTACTCATACAGGAAGAAATGTCACTGGTCAGGTATGATTGCAGTCACAGCTGTTGACTCGACCAATAAATTCAGTTCAATTCAGAAGACTTATTAATACCAAAAGGAAATGAAATGTTGCAATAAGTCGTAGGCCATTTTTCAATGATATGTTATAGGGGTTGATGGCTGTAGAGACAAAGAATCCTGGACAAGCCTGCATTTAATTTTAAGGCCCAGCTCAAGATATAATTAAGGAAATCCATACAATTGGACAGACCCATTTTTCACTTTTTTATAGCTGATATTTAGAAGAAATTTAATTCCTATGTAGGTTTAGAAACAAATGTGAATTTACTGTAATAAATCTTCTTTTATTTGAACGTTTCATACTTTTTTATACATATTTTTATACAGTTTTCTGAATGCTCTTTACTTTTGTTTGTTTGTGTCTGCTTGTTCACTGAATGTACAAATTGATTTATTTTCTCCAAAAATAATAAAAATAAAGTAAAAAGCAGGGTCTGTTTAAGTTGCCATTACAAAGACTTAGAGGAAAAACCAATAAAATGAAGAAGAATATGAAGACCTCTAAGTGACATTATTTACTGCGTTAGGAACACCTGCAGACTTATGCTATGAGAAATCCGTCATTTGATGACATCATTTGAAAACTTTGTCTTCTGCCTGTAGCTGTGGGAGCAATACACTGTGCTCCCACCTGAGTTTTACCTCCACATGTGAGCACACAAAGCTCAGGGGAATATAATTCAGACGTTTCTGTCTGGTTCTGAGTCACGCAGCCAGTCAGCCAGAGAGAGAAGAAACAGACACTCACCATGTCCATGATCAGATGTCCACATGCGTTACACTTATCGGCAGACTGTTGGAAGCCAGAATACTTCAGAGAAAGAGAGAGAGAGAAAGGAAGAAAACAAATTCTTTTGAATTTTGGTTGCAGAGAATGAGATTTCCACCTTTGAGTCTGGGATCTGAACAACCACAATCTGTCTTTCTGTCTGTCTGAGCTCCAGCCAGTTAAAATAAACCACAACTACTGCTTTGAACTGCTTGAAAGCCTTCTACTCTAGAAAGGTTTTCAAGTCTTGAAAAAAAGAGTGTTTTGTTTTGATTGTGGAACATTGAGGGGGAATAGGAGCATTCAGACATCAGACATCTGAGCTACAAGCTGTTGAAAGCATTTCTGGAGAACTTTCAGTTTTGGTGTTTTTGGCTCCCCCAGTGGACAAAAGCTATATTGATTTGTCTGAAGGAAGACAGCATTTCCCATGAGAACAAGCGCATAGCGTGGTCAAATCCTGATCTACCCATCACCTGCAGATAGATTGAACTAAATTTCTGTCTTCAGTGGTTGTGTTAAAGACGAATAGCATTGAGGTAATTAAATAAAACAACATCATATGAAGATGTTGAAAATAAGAAAAGTTTAACTTTGGTTTTGAACCGTATTTCTGCACCGCTTGAACTAGATCAGATCTAACTGTTTTGGCATTGATTTTTATGGATGACCACACTACATACATAATCATCTTCAACAACAGAACTAAAGAACTGTAATGTTCTAAATGAACTAAATTAATGAAATAAATTATTTTGATAATAACCCTTACAAAACAAAAACCTGACAAAACATAGCGCATTACTAAGCTGACTGTGCTCAATGCAATCCTGAGAATATATTTGCAGAGGTTTTCAAAAAGTGCTATAATAGCCTGACTGCCCTTTAACCTTTAAAGAAAAACATCTTCTCGGTTTACAGATCTCCTTCCAGTCCAGACTACATAAGCCAGCTGACATGAAGCGGTTGTGTTAGGTGCTGGAAACAGGTCACAAGGTCAATGCTGAAGTTTTGCTTTAAGTGTTAGTGAATGCACCCACCCCCCGTCTAATTTCACCTCCTATTTCCCAATAAGAGCATGGGCCCACATGGAGGGAAAGAGATCATTGATTTGATATTGATCACCCACCAGGAAGTCCTCTTCACAGTAAACCTTCCCTCCAACGTAATAGAAAGCCTTCCCTCTGAGCCTTCGACCTGCAAAAACAGACAGAGAACTTAGCTGATCTTCATCGCCATGAAAAAAGAAAGTCGACGTCAAAATGTCAGAGTGGAAAATCCTGCATGAGCTATGATCGGAATCTCAAAAAATAGTTCCAGCGCAAACGCGTGACGACTGCGGTGATTAATTACAGCCATTGGAAGTTAATGGCCTCTCTTTTAATATTCACCACATCCGAGCTGATAAATCAAAGAGCGGGTCTTCATTTAACACTGCCGGGGGGCGGGGCTGCAACGCAGAGCAGCCTGTCATGGTCGGGACCAGAAACGCATCTGGATCAAACACTGGTGTGGAAAATGCTGATTATATCCAATTACCAGACAGGTGCAAGAGATTAAGCACCCTTCTCTGTTTGATTTCACAGCCAGCGCAGGCCGAAGCCCGCAGCGGCCCGCTGCGTTCCACTCCTTGTTCCGTTCCAGTGTCGCTACACATGGTTGGTAGGTTTCCTGTCTGTCTGTGTATGGTCTGGAGTTTGCTTCTTATAACAATACACACACACACTCCCCAAAGCTTCTTACTTATTTCACACAGCAGTTCTAGCTCAGGTCCCACAGGAAGAGGAAACATTCCTCAAATACTCTGACAGGGGTTGGGGGGGTTAGGGAGGGGACAGCAGGGGAGAGAGGATGGGGTAACCATTATTTCTGGCATTTACCTGATAATCTGACCTCAGGATCTTTCTAGCAGAGGAAATTTAAACGTCAAAAATCCTGTTTTAGGTAATAAATTAGGTTAAATGAATTAAATATTTAACTGGATGAGGATAATCTCACCCTGAATTGACAACAAAGTGCTGATGGGTCACACCCAGCACTACATTTGCTCATTTTAAAGGTAGAAAACCTGGGTAATTATTGACCAAACGCCTCAGAGCAAAGTCCTCTTCTCAAGTAGGATAAGGGGAGTAAAAGGAAGCTATGGGCTTTTTCCTCTTCTTCAAATTCCTGTCATTTTTTTTTACCTCAGTGAGTTAAATAAGGAAAACTCTAAGCTTGTCTAAAAAGATAAGGGCTTAATTAAAGTCAGGCGTCAGGAGTGATGACTCCAGGAGCCCTAAGAAGGACGACCTCTGTTTCTCTTTCATAAAAATGTAAAACACCTGTGGGGAAGGACGAAACACAAAGCCCTTTTTCTGATTAAAAACATTCTGCTACTTTTCTAGAGTAATCCTCCTATTCGTAGAACATAAAATAAAAAAGGACATAACCAACTGAGAGTGACCCTGGGACGTGACCACGACATAAAGTCGATTCAGCCTCGCCTTCCATCATTTTCTGTTCTGATTTGAAAGAGGCCAGCAGCCAGTTCTGGGAAGTTAAAATGAAGGAGTGTGTTTTCAGAGCTATAACCAGGGCAGGTTCTACCTTCAACATCACCCTCCCGCAGCAAAATGCAGCAGCAGCTGTGGCTTGCAATCAAAGCGATTCTGAGAAATCAGATGGTTGATCAGCCCCGAGTGAAGACCATCTGGACAGAAACACCAAAATCGTATCTTTTACCGGCCAGCAAATGCACCATAGGTTAGGTGAGGCTTCTCAGAGAAGAATCAAATTCTTCAAGAAATGTTGCCTTCATGTTTCCTCTATGCTGCTGCGTGTGGTGGGACGTGCGCTGCAGCTGAATGGCTCCCCTGTCCACACACTGTCCTCCATCTATTTACACTCAGTCGGTCCTACATGGGCCCCTATTCCTGCATTCCTCACTGGATGACATGTTTTTTTCCTGTGGCCACTTAAAAGCCAGCACAACCCTAATGCCCTCTCATGGAGCAAACTATGAGAGGTATGTAGAGTGTAAACTATGACCCCCTCCACCGCCGCCCCCCACCCAAACCATCATGTCAGACATCAGCCTCAATCTGAGCCACAATGCCTCCGTCTCTTTTATCTCCCACACACACAGGACAGAGGGGCAGGGAGAAACGCAGAGATGTTTATCACACGTTTCAGAGCCAAATTGTCCGCTGCAAAGCAGCTGCACAACAATGAGCCTCAGCGGGGGGTTCACCAAAACAGTGGCACAAATACTCCACATACCCATGAACTGAAAACTGGAGCAGAGATTTTCATTTGCTGTGATGAAGAGGCGGGTCGTCTTTCAGTAAGGGACACTCAATCAGTTATTAGGTATGAAGATGAGGAAATATTTAGAGGAAAGGATTATTTAATATGAAGCGTTAATTCAAACAATAAACCTTCAAGGAGTGTTAAGAGGAATACTTTGTTAAAAACATTCAAACTTTCTTGCACTCTTTAAACTGCTACATTTTTTATGTTTACTATCAAGCAGAAAGAGGGAGTACGTAGAAATGGGTAAAAAAATATATAAAAAAAAAAGAACAAAAAGCCTGAAGAAAAAGGCTAAATCTGAGGTAAAACCAAGAGGGATTCAAAACATAAGCACAGTAGTTCTTGTAGAGAGCATCTTCAAAAGCTAGAGAACTCCTCCTCCTAGAAAGTCACACAAGCAGAAAAAGACATTCAGCCTCAAGTTCTGCATATCTTTATCCAAAAGACTCTTCTACTTGCAGGTTGATGCATCAGGCAGGTAAATGGTTCAAACTGTCTTTGTGTGGGCTGAAGAGAGGCCGACACACCCACTAACCAAACACCAGCAATACATGATAGTAATCCCTCCATAATTGTGTGCATTTACGAAGGGAAGTAAACGACAGAGGAAGGTGCCACTTTCATTCAGAGCCACATAAGCAGCCTGTTATTAAGGAGCCATAAGCTCCATAGGAGGATTTGGATGAGAGGCCAAATTCTCCACATGGTGTAGGTGTGCGTACTTACTGCAGGCACTGCAGGTGAAGCAGGTGTCGTGGTAGAGGTTACCCATAGCCTGGCAGGCCTGGTTGGCTCCATAAACCGCCTTGTTACACTTCACACAAAGTCCTGGAACATAACACAGCGACATGAAGACCATTCTCTAAGTATTGACAGAGAAATGCAACAAATCCGAGCAATTAAAAACGGCTATCCTAAAGCAAACACAATACACTGCAGGATTAGTTTATCCGGAATAAAGTCAGGAAGTTGATATAGTAAGCTGTTTCTGTAAAAAGGGAAATATCTTCCAGCGTGTTTGCTTGACTTGGCTCCAAAAGCTGGACTTGTGTTAATAAAAAGAGCTGATAAAAATCAAAGTGTGCCCGCTCTCAGTGCACTGTCTGTTTGGGTGGCTAGAAATAAAGACAGTGGAGTGGAGTCTGTTTAATGATCGCACGCCCACTCAAGCTAAAGGATGAGCAATCAAAATGTGGAGAGAAAATAAGCCGTCTGTGGGTTTTTGTGGCAAATAAAATCCTTGTTAGCAGCATTGAGGTTTTTCTTTTTGTTTTAGCCCATCTATCCATATATCCGCCTGTACTAAAGCAGCTGAACATTTCATATTAAACCTAAAATCATAGTAATAGTTATATATCAATCAAAACCAGTCAGTCTAAACTAAGTATGAAAGTTTTTTTTTTTTTTAGAACGAAGGGATTTTTGAGTTGCTCAAGCTTTAGTCTTCATTGAAATCAATGTTGAATCAACACCTTATTTTAAATAAAGCATCGACTTATGCTGATACTTCCAATTAAATTATGTGCCTGCTTGGTCATAACGATCCCTTAATTATTATTAATTAAATAATAAATAAAAGCTACCCTACAAAGTACTAAAGGAGATGGTCTTCCATCTTCCATGGACTTAAAATCATTCAAAATGTGAAATAATCAAACTTTGTCAGTCTCTGAAAAACTGTAAAAAGGATCATTTTACGGCCCAAGGTACAGATTTAACATCTGCTTTAATGGTAAATGTGAAACTATGACTTAAGAAAAGATTATAAAAACTTTGGCCTGACTATTTTTTTGATCTAATCAGTAGAATTTCATGATCAACAACAAAACCATTAAATAAAGCAAATCATCAGCACTCATCATCGTTATGTATAAGTTTCATATATATATATTCTTAGAGGCAAATTCATATATCAGAATATCTTGATTTTTCAGGCTTTCAGACAAGGCTGTGAGTTTCTCAGGTTCTGGAGATCATAAGGGACACCAGCCGTACGTTTGACTGGATCTCTAGTTCTATAAGTTTTTTTTAAAGGGACTTAGAAGTGAAAAATTCAATCTGAGGTTTATGTGTTAACCACACATCAGCTACCAAATCAATCAGTTGTAGTGTGACCTTACAGTGTGTAACCAATACAGCACTGATGGAGGGTGAAACCTCTCAGTGTGTGAATGTATATGCCTGGGCTCTGAGTTATTTGTGTGTGTTTTTTTATAGAAAACTCCTCAGGGACTCTGAATTGGAGCCCAGTAGAGGAGGTCCGCCCAGCCCTGCTCCTCCTAGAGCGCTGACAAAGAACCTTTTGTTTCCAATGTATCCAACAAACATCACATGGCTGTCTCCTTCCATAAACAACCCCACTGTTTTACTTAATAACGCTGCTGAACAATTTTATTGGGAAAAAAAACTTTGAAGTTATAATTTATTCTAAAATTTGATTAAAAAACAACAAAAACCAAAGTATAAGGCCACTAAACATCAATCTTCATCTGGGGCTCGGATGGCTGGAGAGGTGATTTAGAGATAACAGGAGGATATTATTTTTATAAAGCAAAGGAATTCTGCTCTGCTATTTGGTTTACATGCAAACACAGTTATAAACTCAAACTACTCAACTAAAGCAAGCAATATTCCCTTTTTACTGAGAGAGGTAGATTGAGATAAACTAGAAAACTGTGCATTTCCTAAACATGATAAATTATTAGCAATCTCCTCTGAACGTTTAAAAAACTTTTCTTTTCTGCAGATTCTGTCTTTAAAAGTCTGCTTATAAAAGACGCTGTTTGGGTTCAACCTGGGGGAAGGGAAGCAAAACACGCAGCCATGCTTCTCTTTCTACCTTCCTCACCTTTTCCAGCTGTCACAACTCTCAGTCAGCCTACTGCCAGATATTCCACTAACCCTTTTTTTATTTTTATTTTAGAGGACTACAAAACCCATCGATTTCTCTAAAGTGTCTGACAAAATAACAGCCTTATCATTTTAGGATGAAGTCTTACTGTCAAGTCAGGTTTTCCCTTCAGCTAAAGATTTCCACTCTGTCTGGTTGCTGAATGCGTCTCTGACCTTTGCTACAGCTAATTGCCTTTCCATGAAGTTTCTATGGGAGTAACGAGTCAGGGTGTCTGTGACTCGCACTGATGGGGCTCAGGAAGCTGTATGCGGAGAGACCAATTACAGCTGGCAGCTTGTTCGTGTGAAGAGCTGTTGGAGCGGCGCACCAACGGTGGATATACAGATGTAGATACATTTATTTGTTCATCAGAAGAAATAATGGGAAGGTGCGGCAGCATAATCTCACACGAAAACAACTTTTAATTTGAGAGCATTGGTTTAGAGGAAGAAAAATGTGATGATTATTCAAGGAAACTGTAAAGTAGTCACATTTTTTTTTAAGTATTCAGTTAAATCAGAGTTTCTGGGAGCTTTTATTAAGTAATTCCTCCCAACTGGGTATTTGGGAGAGCAGCCAGGAAAAAGCTCTGCCCTCTCCCCAACCGTCACCAACTTAAGCATGTGGAGTTTGCTAAACTCAGACTTTCATTGAACCACGCCTTTTGTTTAGATGGGAGATTTTACTTTTTGGTAACAAACTCCAGGTGGGTTGGTCATAAAAGAAGGAGTGAATATATGGGGAAAGTATCTCACGTACATAATTAAGCATGGCAGAGGAGCCATGATGCTGTGGAACTTGGTTAGAATGTGTTTCTTAGATCGACACTAACTGGGTTTCTGAAAAACCTGTGAGCTGAGCGAGGGTAACTGAACTCTAAATTAGGGCTGAACGATTAATTGCATTTGCAATAATATCGCGATATGATAAAACGCGATTTTCTAACCGCAATGGACGCGATTTGACGGTCACGTGATGGTCACGTGACGGTGACGCGCTAGCCAAACAACACAGAGGGAAAGCTGATGTCGTCTGCGACTAACTTGCTGAACAATGGCGTCAGAATGCACAAACACCGACACAACTGAAGGTCTGGTACCAAAGAGGAGCGGCACGTCATTGGTGTGGAATTTTTTTGGGTTTAAGAAAGAAGACGCTGCGCAAACTCAGGTGTTGTGCCGGACATAACTCGGGCAATTACGGAGTTTATAGCGAAATACATGATATCCGTCAGTATAGTGACCAAGCCTGGGTTTACGGCTTTGGTACACACGTTGGATAAGCGGTATTCAATGCCCTCGCACACATATTTTAACCAAGTCGCAATACCTGAGCTATACAAAAAATGCAGAGACAGAGTTGCTGCGGAGCTGAAAACAGTGGAGTTTTTTGCAACAACTACAGATTTGTGGTCAAGCCGAACAGCGCAGCCGTACCAGAGTCTAACAGTGCATTATATTGACGAGGACTTAAATCTTAAAGCTCGCTGCCTTCAAGCTTCCTACTTCCTGGACGACCACACAGGGGAAAACATTGCTGCTGGCTTGAAAGAGGGACTGGCTAGCTGGAATTTACCGGAAGAAAATCACATCTGCATAACGACGGACAACGCATCAAACATGGTGTTGGCAGCACAACTAAATGAATGGACCAGACTGCAGTGTTTTGGGCACCGATTACATCTTGCCATCGGTACGTAACATATCTCAGCATGAGAGTGTGTGATTGTGAATGCGCAGAGAGAGAATATCTGTGGGTGTGTGTGTGTGTGTGATTGTGAATGCGCAGAGAGAGAATATCTCTGTGTGGGTGTGTGTGTGTGATTGTGAATGCGCAGAGAGAGAATATCTCTGTGTGGGTGTGTGTGTGTGATTGTGAATGCGCAGAGAGAGGATATCTCTGTGTGGGTGTGTGTGTGTGATTGTGAATGCGCAGAGAGAGGATATCTCTGTGTGGGTGTGTGTGTGTGATTGTGAATGCGCAGAGAGAGAATGTGTGTGTAATGTAAGGGGTTGAGTAAAAGAATGTGAAAGTTAATATCCTTTTTCACTAGAGATGCACCAATCCATTCATTTTATGATCCAGTACCTGTGCTCTGCATATTGGCTGATATTCAATACCAATTTGGAGGTATTGTTGTAATGAATTAACTGTATAACTTGCAAGACTTGATATAGACATTGATAAAAAAAAAAGGTAACAAATTACGAGATATAAATGTACTTAATATTATTTATTAAGAAATGAAGTGTAGATTTGCACTGCATTATGCTGCAAATTTTGCAGCATAATAATATAATCTAATAATCTAATTTTATGTTGCAGGACATGCACTTAAAGATGACAGAGTGTCCAGAGCAATAGGGCTGTGCAAGAAGCTGGTGGGGCACTTCTCCCACAGCTGGAAGAAGAAGGCAGCAATGGCTGAAGCTCAAAGGGAACTCAAACTTCCTGAGCACTCCCTCATCACTGAATGCCCTACAAGATGGGGATCCAAAGAAATGATGATTGCCAGGGTGCTAGAGCAGCTCAAAGCCATCACTCAGGTGTTGTCAGGTGACCGATATGCACGCTCCCTGATCCCAACCTGGCAGGATATTGAGGTGTTGGAGTCCATTCACAAGGCACTGCATCCTCTCCAGGAGTTTACGGATGCTCTCTCTGGAGAGGAGTACGTCAGCATCTCTTACTTAAAACCAGTTCTTCACCTTCTGTCCACATCAGTCCTGGCTGAAAACCAAGAGGACACTGACCTGACAAGGTCAATTAAGACCAAGGCCCTGGCTTACCTCACCGATAAGTACAGTGACCCCAGCATCCAGGAGCTTTTGGATGTTGCATCCTTTCTAGACCCAAGGTTCAAAACCAAGTACATCGCTGCAGACAACATTCCCACCATTAAGACCCGACTCAAAACTGAAATTATGCAACCAGC